AGAGAGAGGGAGAGAGAGAGAGAGGGAGAGAGAGAGTATAATTTATGTCTCCACATGTCTTTCATTGTGGGTCCATCTATTGGATTATTGGAGTCTGGTTAACCCACCAAGAGTCAAATGATTGAAAGAGATTGTCTCTGCCCCTCCCAGCAGCCATGTGTTACCACCGTTTCCTTAGGTGGGATTGCAGCTTCTTACCCACTTCCCAATTTCTATGCTGGGATTTTTTTTCTGGTTTGAGCTTGCATGGGACTTGTGCCTGCTGTCACCATTGCTGTGAGTTCATATGAACTAGCTGTCTGAAAGATCCTGTTTCTTTGTGGTCATCCATACACTCTGGCTCTTGTGATCTTTCTGCTCCCTCTTCTGCAATGATTCCTGAGCTTTGGAACACAGAAGTTAGATATATGTGTCTTATTCAGGAATAAGCGCTCTGCAGCCTCTTGTTCTCTGTGCATTGGTCAGTTGTGGGTTTCTGTGTTAGTAACCAATTGTCACATAAGTAAATTTCTCTGCTGAGAGTTATGAGATGCATTAATCTATGGGTATAACAATGAATTATTAAGAGTCTGTTTAATATGATAAGCTTTTAAATCTTATATATGCATGTTTCAATTTGAAAATTCAGAGAGGTTAAGAAACTAATAAACAGCCATGGGTAGGTGGAAGAAGCTTCCTGGGAGGGATGGTAGAATGCAGTAATTTTGAAGAGGGAAAGGGAAGATTAGGCTAGTAAACATTAAATGGGGTGAGGGGAAGGAGAGGAGGGCATAGGAGGGAGTATGGGGAGGGGTAAGCAACACTAATGACTTTTGAAGAAGTCATATGGGAACCTATCACTATAGAAGCTTTATACATCATAATAAGAGATTAACAGGGGTACTATGTCTTTTCTAGACATCATAGACTAAGTAAAAAATAACCCTCAATTCCAGGAATGGACTCCCTTTCTAGAAGATGTTGACCTGGGGTACCACAGACCCTCAAACAATACTGGCCATTGCCTCTGCTCTTGGTTACCCACCAGAACTGGATGGTGAGACCCTATTGCTGAAGACACTGCACACATGAGCTGTAAGACGAACAAGGAGAAATCAAGCTGGTGCTGACTTCAGAGCCTTATCTCTACTGACTAGCGTTCATAGTGCTGGAAGGTGCTATACATGCTACCCAAGGGAAAAATTATGAACCTCACCCAGCTGCGAATCCTGTGAACTGCAATAAACACGTGGCCTGGCAGTATATGCTCACTGGTGCAACAGAGACACAGATATTATGGGAGTAACCAACCACTCTATAATTGGATGTAGGGTCTTTCCTAGGATGGAGCCCATACCTGCCATTGATATCAGGTATAGGAATCTAAGGCTAGACATGTCACAGGACATAAGGAGAAAATAATACTCTTTCTCTACTAAGTAGTTATCAAATGGCTTTTATATTTCAATCCTCAACCCATTTGAAATTTTCCACAAATTCAATGGCTTTCTTTTGCTGGAGACAGACAGGGCTTGATTCCTTGTCTCTTAACTAAGAGAAGGTGGGGATGAGACTGGGAAATGATGTGGATATGCGAATAAGAGACAGAATTTCCTTCCCAGAATGACTGGGCTAACACCAGCAAAAGACATGGGAAGAAAAAGCAAACAAGGTCTTTCTAGGTGACTTGTTATATGCAAAGGGTCTTCCTGTAGCCCCAGCAGGCTTGGAACTTGCTACGTAGACCAGGCTGGCCTCATTCTTACAGAGATCTGCCTACCTCTGCCTCCTGTGTACTAGGATTAAAGGTGTGTGCCACCATGCCCAGTGATCATTTTTCTAATTTTTAAGGTCTCTTAATTAAAAAGGCACCATATTGGGTCTGGGGAGATGACTCTGTGCTTAAGAGCCCTGGCTGTTCTTCAAGTTCTGTTCCCAGCACTCATGTGATGGCTAACAACTATCCATAACTCCAGTTTCAGGGGATCCCTCTTCTGACCTCTACAGGCAATGCATGCATGTGGTACACTTACACACATGCAGGCAAAATACTCATACACATAAAAGAAAAATAAATAAAACAAAAATAAAGTGATCATATTTTTCATAGTAACTCCTCCATAAGCATTAGAATGGGGGAGGAAGAAAAGAAGATGAGGAAAAAAACGGGTAAAAAGAGAGAAATAAAGATAGAGAAGAAAAGTGTGTGCAGTGGTTGGTCTTTATTGTTGACTTGACATGATCCAGAATCATCAAGGAGGCAAATTTCTTGGCATGTCTGTGAGGGAGGTTCTAAATTACTTTCACTAAGGTGAGAAGACCCACCCTGAGTGGGTGGCACCATTTCAAGGGTTGTGGTGCTGGACTGATTAAAAAGAAGAAATGGATCTGGGGATCAGAAATCATCTTTCTCTGCATCTTGGATGGGGATACAATAGAGCCGGTCACTTCCTGCTCTTGCTAACGTGGCTTTCCAGCCATGATGGACTGTACCTTCAAACTGTGAGCCAATGTAAGCCCTTCCCTCCCTTCCTTGAGGTTTTTTAAAAATCAGTTTTTCTTTCACAGCAACAAGAAAGGTAACTAATATACCTCTATATTGTGTCCTGCTGGGCCATGTGCAACTCTGAGCAAGGCACATGATGAAGAAGATAATGTGCTCTCTGCTATATTACCACAGAGGCCATTTGCAATCAGTTTTAGGCACTCCAAGTAAAACACTAGGCTCAACATTTTTTTCCACTTTGTGTGAAAGGTATTTGAGTTGATGTTATAAAGTAAGGGGATGGTAAGCAATAAATATTGCTTGTTAATTTCAGATTACTGTAGAAAGAAAAATAACAAACGATTTAGAAAGGCTGTTCAGTGGCTCTTGTTTACCCTGCCCAATAATATATGAACCAAAGGCAGGTGATAAAATTAGAAGGCATCCCATTTAAAACAGATAAAAGCAGCACTGTGTTGTTTACCCACCATGTAATTATCTTGTAGAAGTCTCACTACAGGATATTATTGTGACAAATAGTTTCAAATAAGAATTAGGCATTTATAATAATAAGAACAACACGTGTAGTCACAACATTCCAACTGAATTACAATCCCTATCCAGCTGTATACAGCCTCATGGAGGCTGCTTAACTACACTGGAAAGTTAAACAAAATTCAACCTGAAATTCAAGGCTTAGAATTTCCTAGTTTTTCCCAAACACTTAGCTCAACTTAGGATCTGCAAGGGGATGTGGTTTTGTTGATTACATATTTTGGTTTTCCATTTTGTATTATTTCAATTTCTTTTTCAATATTTTAAAACTGAGGATTATATTAAGACTCACTTTTTCTTTAGAAGTTTTTGGTGAAATTAAAAATTCAGAGAGAAATGCCCATTTGAGAGTGTAGTGCACATTATGGATGATGAAATTGTTGCACTGGTCACCAAGCAGGATTATTAAATCCTCAAAAATGTTGTTGGTAGTAAGAGCTTCAAATTACTGGCTACACTGAAAAAATAACTGAATGTTTCTAAGTTACTATATCTTTCCTTTTAATGTGGTTGCAACCAGTATAAATGGGACATTTTCTCTCAAGTATCTGGGCTTAAATTCTATTAGGGACATCAGCCATCTATCTACAATTGCTGACAACTTAATAACTTTCTTCCACCATCACAACCAATGCCAGAACAATGAGAAGAGCTTTGGTCAAATCTGCAGCTCGGCCTCCTGAAAACTGGAGCAGCAATAACCAAAAATCCCAAATATTTACTTTTATTGAATTCTATTCTATTAAATTAATTGAATAAAAGCTATTTGTATTTGTAGATATAGCTTGGAAAAGCTTGATTTTCCTAAATTGATCTACAGTCAGAATTATGCCTTATATGAGGCATTCAAATACCTTATCAAGAAAGCTTCTTTATATTTATCAATAGGAAATTTAAGATACACCCATAAATGTATTTGCTATTAAGTATGAGTTTGCATAGTTCCTCTAAGTATGCTCTCAATATGAGGCAAATGAATATAACATCCTGCTTATTAGATTGTTTATAATACCTTTGCATTCTTATTGAATGTGTTGTTGTGTTTCTTTGCTAAATTGAATATAAACTAAGCCTAAGTAGTCGTCAAAATAAACTGACTTTTAAAATTTTAGCACATTTTAAATTGGCTCTAGAGCTTTAGCAGTAGGTCTGGGTCTATAAATGAACCGTTAGTCATGGATATAAATATTCTTTTTTGTTTTTAAAAATCGCTACGGAGGCAAAGAATGAGCAAAAATTCTATTTCCATATTCTGAAATATTTACCATGTGGATTTCAAAGCATTACATTCTACAAGCTTAGCATTTCCTTGGGGAACCATGGCTAAATTAAAGGGAAAGTTCAACACACACACACACACACACACACACACACACACACACACACACTACACCAAGCCCCGGCCTCAGGGCACTGCTCTTTGAGATAACAGAGGATTCTCAGAGAAAATATGGTAAGTCTGTCAAACAAAATTCCCACCACCAAGCAATCACACATCCCCTTGAAAGTCTCCAACCCTCACTCACATCTGCTTCTTGTTTCATTGGGATTTTTCTGATTCTGATTTCAAGTTACTGTCCGTGCCCTTCTCTCCGTACTGTTGGGTCTGTGCTTGCCTTATTTGGACAACCAGTCTTCACCCAATTCCTAACCTCTGGTCTATTCCAATTTTGCTTCTAAAGAAATGTGAATCCTAGTAGTGACGACAGTCCGTCTGTTTGTAGTTATCTCCCGTCTGGATCCAGCAATCTCATTTCTGGGAATATATCCCAAGGAATAGATGTGCATATATAAAAGAGGTGTCTGAGAACTCATATTTATTGCAGAATTGTTAACAACAGCCACAGTGAGGAAACAGCATAGGTATCTATCAGCAGATGAGTGGACAAAGAAAGGAGAATGCTCTTCGCCTTAACATGGAAACTCCTATTTACCTATTTACACTAGGTAAAATATGCCAGACCCAGAAAGCTAAGTCCCATATGATTCCAGTTCTACTCAAATTTTGAAAGAAAGAACACACAGAAGCAGAAAGCAGAGTGATGGTTACCAGGGGTTGAGGATGGGGTTGGGAAGGTTGGAGAGATGCTAGTCAAATAGACAAAATCTGAGTTAGATGAAAGTCAGAGTTCAAGAGGTCTGCTGTATAGTAAAGCACAGAGACTATTAAAAATGTGTTATATTCTCCTGCTAGAAGTCAGTGTTCTTAACCGCTGAGCCATCTCACTTACATGCAGGCAATATATGCATACACATTAAATAAAAATACCAAATAAAATATATTTTTTTAAATGTGTTATATTCTGAAAAATGCAAAAAGAAGAATTAGAGGGAATATAACAGAGTGATAATAAACAAAGAAAAAGTAAACAAAGTAAATTCTGCTCAACATGGTAGCAGGACTCATAATATCTGTTACTGAGGAGGCTGGAGTGGAGGGGTCCAAGTTCAAAACCTACCTCGACAACCTGGACAGTTCATGTCTAGCCTGGGCAATTTAGCAAGACTCTGCCTCAAAATACAAAGTAGCCACAGGAATAAGAGTAATGGGAGGACTTGGAGGTGTGGCAGAGTGTTTGCTTAGCTTATGGAAGGCTTTGGGGTCTGCACCTAGCACCTCAGTCAATCAATTCCATAAGTAGTTTTCTTTGGGTTGTGCTAGACAAAGGTCAGGGATGAGTGCTCAAAGGGACTCTGACCTTGCCTAGACAATAAGTTCTGTATCTTGTGGGAAAAAATATTCATCAAGGAATGAAATGATGCGAAGAGCTCAGAGAGATCAGAAATGTACTTGGTGTTGAAAATAGAATTGAACAGTCATTAAGAAAGGTTATGACAATCTTCTTGAAGAAAGCAGATATGTAAATATAAATGGTGACTTCAAATGTCAAACGGACCAGGGCAGTGGTTCATTAGATAGCTCCTTCTCAGTAACAAATTGTCCCTATATTGAAAGAACACACATTCATCATCTTACAGATTTTGTAGATCAGGAGTCTTGTGACTTAGCTGGCTCAGGGTCCCCACAAGCTCACAATGGCCAGGGTGGATGTCTCATTGGAAAGTTCAACTGGGGAATCATTGGCTTCTTCTTGCCCTTCCATGTGTGTGGGCAGGATTCAGTTCCTCCAGAGCTGGTGGACACGCAGTAGCATCAGTAACTTGCAAACTGTTGTGCAGTCCACCCTCTAGTCCTGGCCCAGTGGTTCCTCTGTCAGAACAAGTACATGAGGAAACCCAGAGAGAGAAACTATGCAGACAAAAGCCACAGGACTTCATTACTTAATCACCTAAGAAACAGCCCTCAGTACTGTTATAAAAAGAGGAGGATGAGTCAAGGTTAAAAATATGAGGAGGTGGGGAATCATTGGAGGCCAAGTATTTGTCCTAGGTGTTCCGGGACCTTCTACTAGGTGCAGAAATTAAAAATCTCATGTTGATTAGACATCTTACAAAGTAACCAAATATCTCTAATATATCGTGTATGTTTCAGGAATTAGAGAAAATCCATAAGACATATATTCACTGGTACAACTATGACTCTATGACTAAGCATCAGGTCATAAATTAAGACCTTTGAAAATACTTTAAGTGGCATATGAAGAAGTCTGACCAGAAGCTAGGGGGAGGCTCAGTCAGTAAAGCACTTGCCTTGCAAGTGTGGAGACCAGGGTTAGATCTCCAGAACCCATATAAAAAGGCTGGACGTAGTGGAGGCATGATCTTGTAATCCCAATGCTGAAGAGGAAGAGCCAGGTGGATCCTTGGGCCTTGCTGGCCAGCCAGTACAGACTGACTGATGAGCTCCAGCTCAAGGAGACACTGTCTTAAAGAAGATGAATGATATTTCTGAGGATAAAACTCAAGGTTCCCTTCTTCTTTGGGTTCCACATCTAGTATCACAATCAACCAGTCCCACAGTAGTCTTCTTGAAGCATCAAAGATCAGGGAGAAGTGTTCAAAGTGACTCTGGCTTTGCCTAGAAAATCAATTCTGTGGTTTTGGGCCTTGCAGAAAGATTCTATACACACACAGACACACACACACACACACACACACACACACATACACGAGATATTTGGTTATTGTATATGCTGTCTAATTCATCAACATGAGACTTGTAATTTCTACCCCTAATGCAAGATCTTGGAAAATCCAAGAAAAACACTTGGCCTCCAACGATTTTCTACCTCCTTATATTTAGAACCTTGAATAGCCTTCCTCTTTTTATAACAGTATTGAGGGATGCTTCTTCTATGATTAGGTTATGAATCCTGTGACTTTTTCCTGGACTAGCTTCTCTCTTTGGGTTTCCAAAGATACTTGTTTTGATGGAGGAGCCACTGGGTAACGTCAGCTAACAATCTGAAATTATTGATGTCATAAGTTCACTAATAACTATTGCCAACAAATGAAGGTCTATATGAGCCACACCATCCCCTGTATGCTCCAGGGAAATGTAGGTGCGTTATTTAGGTGGTCCTGGATGTTTGCCTTACCCTGGCTTTTCTCCATACATTGTACATGAAGACTGAATGGAATGATGTTGAGAAGTCATAAGTAGACATGCACTCCAGGTATAGCGCAGCTACTGTACCCCAGATGCAAACAAAGTCTAACTCTAACCCAAGTACATGAAACTAATATGAATTGCTTAGGCCATATTCCCAGTATTCAAAAACTACTTGAGTTTTACTATGCTGTGATATGCACAGAAAAGATGAAGACAGTTTCAAGATTTTTCTGGATTAGTTACTGGTGCTGAGGACACACATGTGTCTGTTCTACATCTGGAGAATTCTTATGGTTTGAATCTGGAATGCCCTCTGCACAAGCTCATTTTTTAAAAAATACTTTATTTATTATTATTTTATGTATAGCATAGTGCCTGCATGTATGTAAGTGCATTCATGTCATGCAGTGCCCAGAAAGTCAAAAAAGAGTGTCGGATTCCCCTGAACTGGAATTATGAATGGTTGTTAGCTGCCATGTGGGTGTTGGGAACCAAATCCAGGTCCTCTGCCAGAGCAGCCAGTGCACTTAGCTGCTTAGCCATCTCTCCAACCCCCATACCCATATAATCTTAATATGGAACATCAATTAGATTAGTAAGGTCCAGTCTGCTTCAGGGCATAGAGCCAGAGATGATCAGGGTCTAGTGTGCAATGTTCATACAAGCAGAATACCCTCCCATAACATGCACAGGTCCTGAAAGAGCCTAGCAACATCTTCAAGTTCCAAGTGAAATTTGAGTATATACATGTCATGTATATACATATCTCTTTGTTCTTAAATTCTGAGCTAGAGAAAAGTACTCTCAATTTCAGGTTAGGATACAAATGCCACTATATATACTCAGAGATAGTCAAGCTTGGCAGGTCCCAAGGCTAACAACACTGAGAACACAGATGCGGTACAGAAAACTGAGTACTTGATTTTGTGATCTTTTGAACCACATTTCCTGTCTTTTCGGAAGAAGGCACCTGACTGGGCATGGTGGACACACCTGTGATATTTGCTCCTGGGAGGCTAAGGCAGGATTGTTGAGTTTAAGGCTGTCCAGGGATACAGAGATACACAATGAGACCCCGTCCCAAACAAATAAGCATACCCCTCAAACAAAATAAAAAACAAGGTCCTGGAATTCCCAGATTCAAGTATGCCCCTAGGTCTGGTCCCCTGCTGTAGGAATCCTGAGGAGGCCCATTAAGTGTTTGGGCTATTTACCCACCAACATTAAACACGGAGATAGAAAACATGGTAACATAGGTCAACTTATTCCTCCAAGGCGTATGTTGATTCTAGAGAGTGTCAGACAATGTGGGAAACAATATACTTTGTTGGAACTGGGCTGTGAGGAGGTTCCCACAACCTCTAACCTATTGTGTTTTCTCCGGACCCCTTCCATCAGTTTTTGAAGGCAGAAAGTAATCTCTGAAGGTGCTTGATAATTCAAAACCGAAAACAAAAACACACTTCCAATGTATTGTGCTTTTATAAAATCTGGTCTGGTTCAGCTGACAGATGAGCTGATTGATGTGATCAGCCCAACAACCAAGCTAGTCCTTCTCCTTGACGAATCCCACCCTGTTCTCGGTAGCAAGACTGGCCACAGAGAAGTGGAAAAGACAGAAGAATGAGGCCATCTCCAGGAAATGCTTCCCCAGGAATGCAATTTCATGGATGAAGTCTCCCAGGCAAATGGCCCCAAATCCCCTGGGTGTTGCTCAGTCACTATCAGAGCGGTGGTCTTAATCTTAACCTCGCCTTCTTCATGTTTCCGGATGAGTTCCAGGACAGGCTTCAGATTGGAAATATTTCCAGGTGTACAACAGAGGTCAAGTAATGTTTATCAGCCACTTCCAAAGAATGAGGTTTCAAGTCCAATCTTCGGACTGGCACCTTGTTATGCTGCAGCACAAATGACTCTAGTCCCTTATACCTGAGCTCTCTGACCTTCCCCTCTCTCTTTGCCAAAAGTGCCTGCTTTGCCTGGGTGGCTTCAAGGGTTTGGTAAGCCTTCCTTGTTTTCAGGAGATTTTCTGGAACCAAAGGGAACTTTTTCCTTTCTTCTTCTCTGCCATCTTCCTGTTGC